TGTTTTAAGACACTACTGCAGCCACTATGTAACACACAGTGAATCCAGATACAGAAAGTTGATATTGCAGTTTTGTTGCCAGTTGAGAAGTGTAAATCTATCTTACTTGTTGACATGGTCTAAATATGTATCTTAGATGTTTGTTTGTTTGGTTTTGGTTTTTTTTTTTTAATGTATTGATAAGAAGTCTCAGTGTTTCTTTTTAATTTATTTTTTTTTTTTGCCACAGAAACTATTTTGCTGACATTTTTAATCTCATGTTTGGCTACAAGTTTCATTTTGAGTTGCTCTTGATAGTAGGAATTCTTTCCAGGAAACATCCTGTGGAAATTCTGGTGTGTAGTTTGAGGTAGTTCAACTTGTTTTGCATTGCAGTCATGCACACTAAAAACACAGTCACCTTTAAAGAGTAATGTAACTTCTTGTACCTTCCGGATTTGAAGATGCAAGACTTCTCTAGGTTATCTATAGACTGGCTGCTGAGGGGCATTCAGAGACCATCCTGAAGATTGTACTTGCCAACAGGGATAATGGGAAGTATGTTTCACTTCGTGCAGGAATGGATGCCAGTTAAACTTTGTATTCTTTTTTTCATCATGGAATTTCATTAATTACGTGTGTAGGACAGTTTTTAGGATGTATTCAATGTACACATATTTTAAAAAGTAGTATTTTGCATCTAAATGAAAAAAAATATATATAATCTTAATCCTGAAGACAAAATGTTTAATTTCATAAATTAGTCCATAATACACACAGAGCAGTATATTTGCGTGTCTTGTAGTTATGTTGTATCTGCGTGGTTTAAATCTAATTTAGTAAGCAGTTTGATCTGGGTTTAGCTGATCTTGGAAAATATGCTCTTTGTATAAATGTTACACGTTTTGTATGAATTTAAACTGTATGACTGTCATCATTCACCTAGAATGATTGTCCGTTTGTTACCTTCTGAATAGAGTGGGGTTTTGTGTGTAAAGAATGACAGTGTTGAACTGGTTTGTTTTTTAACTGATTTTGAAGAAAGAGATTCCTCACTGTAAATCCTAAGCTTATTAAAAGTATTTGTGGGAGGACACAGCAAACTGACATCCAATGAGGTTTTTCTTCAGTGTTGTCGGTTACTTGCTGTTCTCTATAACGAACGGGTTTTCATGCTCAGTTTATGGGGAGAAAAAGCCTAAATCTAAAATGTCTCTAAAGGGAACTCCTTTTAAGGATTCTGATGAAAACTCAACTGATCTATGAGGTTTGGGGACTATAAAGGAAGAAGTGCAGTGATGTCTGAATTGGCACCTGAATCCTCAACGCTGGAATTGGATAGATAACTGGCATTTTATGGAATGTCAGTAAATTGGAGTTTGGCTTCTAACTTGGTTCAGAATCACTTGTGCTTGAAAGCGAAAGCTCAGCATCTTCATAAAACTGTGTGCAGACATAGTAGTTTTTTAAAACCTTCATTCTTCTTACCATATTTAGCCTCAACTTTCTAACAGTTGTAATTGTCCACAGAAAACATTTCAAGATAAATGCATTATCAGGTTTTGAAATTTTCTTATTTTTGTAAATACTAAGACCTGGGGGGCGAAATAAGGGCTATATTGTGGATTAAGTGAAATATCTCAAGCCTGTGCTTTTCTGATAACTGAACCTGAAGTGACCTTTCTCAGACACAATTACAGAGCTGTATGTTTTTCCTTTAATTTCATCAGGGGTTTAATTAGTATACAAATAAAACTTCCCTTATCTTCCTTTCTACCTAATTGGCTTGTCTTCGCTTATATATGAAGAATGTGAAAATGGGCTGTAATTAGGGTGACCGTGTTAACCTTTTTTTCTCAAATGTACTGTTGCCTAAAGGCCTCAAGGCCTAAAACCAGTGCTTTGGATTATTGCTTTGCAATCACTATGGCTCTCCCACAGGTTTTCTCATGAGCAGAAGGGCTTTGGGTGCTGCAGGTTCCCACTGCTTAACGGGATCTTCATTCTTCTCCCCAGTAAATGTTTATTGATTATCTCACTGCTCCACACTCAGCCTCCAACAACTTAATATCAGGTGACAGTCAGGAGAGTTCTCCAAGTAATTAGAGTAGAGCATTGAGGGAACAATTAGGAGCAGAGTTATTAAACTTGATTTATCCTATTCTCTCCTGAACACTTTCTTGGATATCAGAACATCACACTTTCACAATCTACCCTGGCTGAGAAATTACTGGCTAACCTGCTGCTTATCATTGTTGCCTTGCTGCCTTGAGGCACACCCTCTTGGTTTCAGTCACTCAGCTGGAAATATTAGAGTCCATAAAGTTTATCAAGGGTTTTAATTAGATCAATCTGAAGAAGGAAAAAAAAAAAAAAAGAGAGGCTTACCAGCCATTACCTTAGAATAGTCCACAATGTATTTGAGCAATTTCTGAGGCTTGACTTTAACCCACAGTAGCATGGAGCTTCAAATGAATGCTAAACCTGTTTTTAGAGAGCTAGAATCCATTTACATTTTGCTTAGATATTGCAATATTACTGATAAGTAAAGTATGAATCCTTTGGAGATTTCTGTAAATAATGGGGAAAGTTTTGAGTGTAATAAAGCAGCTGTACAGTCAGATATTTGATTTAATCATTTATATATTGCTCTGTCAACACCTAGTGTGGCTTGCTTGCCATGCCTCTCAAAGAGTTAGGCCTACATCCCTGTTATCATTTCATTAATAGGCCTGCACTTGCAATTGATAAGCAAGATTAGTTAGCAGCTCCCAGATTTTGAGACCCTGTGGGTCTCTCCATCATTTGTGGACAGTGATGAAAGCTTTATGCAGGAGCAGACAACTCTTCAGCCCCTGTAGAAGGATAGCTGTCTAGTAAAAATGAAATAAATATGCACCTGTCTTTCTTCACTCATTTAGATCACTAGAATCTTGGAGCCAGACACTGTTCCAGCAACCTCTACATCAAAACTTACTTGCATCAAAATCATTTATTTTACGTCATCCAGAGCTCAGTCGTGTGACTGCATCTTAAAAACAGACTTTTCAAGCAGATGGGAAAGTGGGTGAATGAAGCATTGGCACAAAAAACATTCTTTATGCAATACATCTTGTTTGTCAAAGGATGGGAATATGGTGGGAGGGGACTCAGTTTTCAGATCTGTTTCCTCAATGGTGACTTAGCATAAAACAAACAAACAGTGTAACAGTAAACACAATAAATGGAAGAAGGTAATGTTCTTTATTCTTACAGTAAAGATCACTCCTCTGATCCTTGCTAATCCACGTCTGGTTTCTTGGAAATAACTTTTCTGAAAATCTGACAGTTCACAAATCCAGTTGTTCGAACAGGGCTTTGACAGCTGTTGGTTTATTGGGTAGAATATCTGAAAGCAACACTTCTGGTTTTGGATATCTTCATGCAAATAATGCAGTGGAAGAATAAGATCTGTGTGTCTATGTTTTCTTAGCTGAAAATCACATTCTTCATTGAAAATAATGACAGAAGAGGCAGAATGGAGTTATTCTACTTGCGGTAATTTAATCAAGACTGATATTAATATTTCTGGGGTTTAGAGTTTCTTAAATAAATTCCTGATTGGGTTTTTTTTTTTGTTTTTTTTTTCTTTTGTTTGTTTTGGGGTTTTTTTTTCTTAAAGTGGTGATTAATCTCAGCCTGGATTTTGTAAAATGCTGAGCAGAGAGTTCAGGTGGTGGTGCTGTACCTTCCCCAGTTACACTGTTGAAAGAACTGATTGCTTTTTTGTCTTCAGAAAAGTTTGAATGAAACTTAGACCAATCCGCAGATTTCAGTTTCTTTTGCAGGATTATGCAGTTTCATGCTATACTTTATTATTTTATAGAGATTTTCTCTAGCATATTTTTTGAACTGCCTTTGAGTCTTGGTTAGGTCTAAAGCTTTTTCAAATTAATTGAGTTTTCAGTACCCTCCCAAGTTTTATCAGCCTTGTTATATACTGTTTTTAATACATACCTACAGCATAATACATCATCTCTGTCTTCCACAGTCCAGATCAAGTACCCCTGAGTACAAATTATGCCAAACTTTCTCAGAACTGAAGCAGAAAACATACCCATACATTTTGAAAACAAGGCGCAAGAGCTTGGTCTTGCAACAGTGCAGCCTTTTCTGTCCTATGAGTTTAGAATCTGACAGGGAATTTACATTTTGTAAAATAATGTTTATAGCCACCTATTATAATTTTTTTTCTAAGAAGGCAATTAACAGCTTTAAGTAAAGTGTAACATTTAGCAAACTATGAAATCATATTATGAATACTGCAGTCTATAAAAGTATTGATTATCCCAGGAGAAAGGAGTAGCAACTAGCCAGGTTCTATGTTAATTAGTTCTGTGTGCTATTTGTCATCTATTGGATTAATCTGAATTGATTTAAAGCATGTGTGAATTCTAAGCTGAAGAGAAACATTAAAAGAATACATGTACTATTTTGCATATTGGAAAATTAATGTTAAAATATAGAGAGCACCATAAAATAGCAATTTATTCAAGATTTGCAGCAAAACTGTTCTTAATGCAGTAACAGAGAATGTTAGACTCTTATTCCTTGAATCCTGAAATTACAGAATAGGGCAGAATGTTTAACTAAATGATACTTTGTTTATGCTCTTTTTCTCTGTCAACTATTTTCTTTAATGTTCATTTAAAATTAAGTTTTGAGACTGTACTGTTTTCTTTAATGGTGTACTCTTGATTATTTCTACTGTGTTTAGATTTAGTATTTCTAAATATAGTACCTGTAGCATAGTGTATGTACCTGTTTGATAAATAGATCACTTTGTTCTGTAGAACATAGGCAATATACTAAAAACTGGGTGGTTTTGAGTTTGTAATGTTTTTGCTAGAGAATTCATAAATGGTAATGGTCCAAATCTACTTCACAGTCTGTCTGTTTTCCACTTTGTTTAATAGCCTATGGCATAAATTGAAGTTAATTATTTGGGCTGACAAGTAACTCTGCTTTCTGTCTGCTTGCAGAGACTCTCTGAGGCAAAGATGGAGCTGAGAAGAAAAGATCAATCTCTGCGTCAGCTCAATAGACTTCTTACCCAGCTGGAGCAGGACAAGCGTCGACTGAAAGAGAGCATCCATGATGCAGAGAGTGCCCTCTGCATGGCAGCGAAGTGAGCGCTGGGACCTTGGGGAGATCACTTAAAACGGACAAAAGATCAATTCTTACTTTCATGCACAGGGTTTTAGCCCTGGCTAATGTAATGCTAGAAAACAAAAGTACATCTGTCTCTCTTTGAAATTCAGTGATAGTCCTCTAAAAAGAAAACTGTAAGTTCAGGATACTAGACGGTATGTTTTCTGTAGTTATCCCATAGTAGTGTTCCAAATTCAGGGTCCTGAAACAGCATTAGAATTTTTGTTTGCTAATTATCTTACTGATTTAACAGCATCTCTTTGGCAGATACCCAACACTGTTTATTTAAGAAATTACTGCTTTTTTTCCTCTCTGTTTCCACGTCTTTTTAGAGAGATACAGTTTATTTATAATAAATACAGAAATGTCAGCTACATGACAGGTCTTAGCTGTCAAATGGTCTGAAAAATGATTTTGGACCTCATCTTATCTGTGGAACAGGGTAGCTCTTTCGGCTGATCTTGGAGAGTTTTGGATTTAGACATAAAACCTATGCCTTTTTATACCATAATCATAATCTTGAAAAGATTGGTAGTCAGAAGTGTTCATTGACTTGAATGAGATTATTACTAACCTCTTACGGTTATATAGTCAGATAAAAAGATAACTCTTTGTTATCTATTACTGTAGTATGTACTTTGAATATTGTTGGTCTATGGCTAAGATTTAAAAAAAGTTTAATTTAAAATTAACTTTTCTTATTATACACGGCATACATTTGACATCAGAGAACAATAGCCTAGAAGCTTTAAGGAGTTTATGCACAATTGAAATAATGTCATTAATACAGTTACCAGTGAAATGTTTAACGAGCTAATTAAAATGACAAATGTTACTTGGTATAAGTGTAGAATAAAGATGTGACCTGAAGAAGGATTTGCTCAGAAAAGCTTGCTCTTTTTCACCCTGCCCCAATCTGTTTTACGTACTCTCATAAAGATCATTTCCTATGGCCCTTCAGAAGAATAACCTTCAGAATAGGTTATTTCAGTGTGAAGTGGTTTTAAAATTGGTTTTATTTCTGTGTATTGTATCAGTTGAATATTGACAAAAAAAAACCCATACCATTTATTGTTCTACCAACTTTTCATAACAAATGTCTTTTTTTAACCGTTTGGAATATAGGAAGAAGGTGAAATAGACTTCATTTTTGTTCAGAAAATCTTACTTTAATACCTTTTCCATAAACTGGGTGATTGTAAGAAATACATGGGTGTGTTTCAAGTTCTTTCCTAATCTTTTGTACTTTAAAGGATAGCAAGATGGCTGGCTCATTCTGAGAATGGCTATCTTGATTGTCTTGCAGTGATGGCCAGGAGTTCTGCTCCTCTTTCTTCCAGAGTAGGAGGCAATTTTAATAAAAATGTCTATTACCCTGGGTCCAAATTTCCATCTGAAAATAATTCCATGTTTATGATGAACACCTGAGAGTATGCAAGGAACAGACTGACTACTGTGTCAGTAACTAACTCAGAAATCAATGGTGTTTAACTGGCTCTGTAGAACTGACTTCACCCAGACAGCTAGCAGTCACTACATAAGTGCAGCCAGCAGAGAAGCATGTCCGTGTCAGTCTAGTCCAAATAAAGGCAGGATCTTGAAAAGAGGAAAATATATGTAACAGCTTTATTAGGAGTGTAAAAGCCAGTCCTGCTTTTCTGGACACCTTCCTGTATTTGCTGCTGGGATAGTATAAATCAAGGAATGAGGAAGCAGTAGTCATTCCAGGCAGAGCAACGCCGTGGTTTTGACTGGAGAAAAGGAGGTGCAGGGGAGATCTTGTCATTCCATACAACTACCTAAAAGGAGGTTGTAGTGAGGTGGGTGTCAGTCTCTTCTCCACAGTAGCAAGTGGTAGAACAAGAAGGAACGGCCTCCAGTTGCACCAGCAGAGATTGAGATTGGATATTAGGAAAAAATTCTTCATCAAAAGGTTTGTCAAGGATTTGAACTGGCTGTTCAGGGAAGTGGTTGAGTCATCATCCCTGGAGGTATTTAAAAGACATGTAGATGTGGTGCTTAGGGACATGGATTTAAAAGACTTGTAGATGTTGTACTTAGGGACATGGTTTAGTGGTGGACTTGGCAGTGCTGGGGTTAACAGTTGGATTTGACCTTAAAGATCTTTTTCTTTTCCACACAAATGTATAATTATGTGACTTCTGTTTTAGGAAATGTAAGAGCTCAAACAAAATACTCATGTAGCTAGCAAGGTGAAAGACAGTCCTGGCAAATTAAGGTGTATCAGGTTTTCTGGCATAGATTCCGTTTGATTTTCTGTGGTGTTTTGTTGGTCATGCTGTTTGGTTCCCCTTAGTTAATTCCATTTCTGACAATTAATCAGATGAGACCAAGGGTTTTTATGGCAGCATAACTGATCAAAGCTGTCTTTCTTACTGAAGCCCTGATCTATCGAAAGGTGTGAAAATAGTATTCCATTTTCTAAACTTCTGTTTCGTAAGGATAGGATCCTTGACTGGACTTCCTTCAGAAAAGAACAGTGGAATGTTCAGGTTTAGAGAAGACAGGAAGACATTCATATAAGTGCATAGTTGTTAGGCCCATAAAACTGGTGAAAAACATAGAATTAGTCAGTGTTTCCCAGTACAAATATGTAATATGTTCCTGCTAGAGCCTGGACTCCAGTCAACACCCGCTTTTTATCCAAGACTGCAGATTTCTTCTCCAAGAACGATAGTTGTTCATCCACAACAGAAACGTCTTTCATACAGAACTGTGCCATGTAGTGGTCCATGGACTATTTTTTAGGATTTGCATTGGAGATACAAAAAGGAAAGACACAAACCTAACAGTTCGAGCCAAACCATTATTTTTAAAGAGGTGATGGTTATAAAGTAGCAGAAAATTAATTTCTACATCAGTAGAGCTTCAGTTCAATTAACTGTGGGGTTTTTTGTTGTTGTTTTCTCTCTTGTAATAGAGACAAAGAATTGATTATTAGTCACATGAAATCTGTGGAAGCCACTCTTCGTAAGGTAAGAATAAGTGTTCTCTCTGCACTTGTATTTCAAAACACGTTGAGGTTTTAGAACTGCTTATTTTCAGGGAAGTAGAGGAGTAGAAGTTGTTGAAAAGCAACTTCCTTTCCTTAGAGTTTAAGTTTCCACCTTCAATTTCTTTCAAGTTAAAAAACGATTTATAAAAATAATATCTTTTTATAAAACTATAGTGAAATAAAATACAATTTTGTAGTACTCTGACATCTTACTCTTAGTATAAAGTTTATTACAAAATTCCTTCCCTCAGCTTAGCAGTGTTTCTGATTACCAGATGAAGACTATTGATCATCCAAACAGTTGGTAATTGCTGCTAACTCTCTACCGAGCAGGGTGGAGGTCGTCTGGTGGGGTCACGTATGTGATGGCCTTAAGACATTTGGCTTTATCCATGCTACTTTAATCTTTGATGCATGATAAGTAAATTAAGGAAAAGACAGTAAGTAATAAGCTGTCATCAAAAGCTTTCATGATACATTTTTAAAAACCTTTTTTAAATTGAATAATAATCTGAAGTTGTCTCTTTGGCTTGTACTATTTTGCCCTGATATAGTATTCTTTGAAGGTTTAACAAAGCTTTATATATTAGTTATGGGTGGTTGTTTAACTGTAGCTCTGATTGTTTTGTAACTGTTCTTAATCCAGAGCAACACAGAATGGAAGTGGGTTTATTACCTCGGAGTATTAATTTCCCTTTTAACATCTTGAATTCCCAGCAACATGGGAATCTGCTCCTTACATTAGTTTCTGTTTCCACCAAAATTACTATCCACTGAATTTTCAGGTACCTTCTTCAATTTTCTCTTTTCTTTAATGTTCACAAAAAGTGACAGTACCTAGACTGTGTGCTTTAAGTATTGCAATCTGTGCTATTAGGTAATGTCTTCTTAGTGTCCCCATCTTCACACTCACTTCTTTCAAGCTTGGAAAATGTATGTAATGCAGAAAGTGATGTTTTGTTACAGTAACATGTACATGTAACGTCCTTGGCCTTGAGAATTTATTGCAAGTTTATTTTCTGATTTAGAAAGCTGTGCTGTATATGCAGAAGGATTGAAATGTTTGGAGAAAGGTTGAGGGAAGTTCACGTGCTTAGCTCTCATTTTCCTTCTGCAGAAAATGGATCTAGGAACTGCCATCTTTGAGAATGTTAGTTACCACACCTGCTTCTTAGTTCTTGATGTACATAGTTATTAGGCCTAAATCGCTTATTATTGAGTAGCAGAGTAATTTATCCTTTCTGGTTTGTCAACCTAAAGAGTGAAGAGAACATAAGAATTAGAAATGTCAGGATGCTTCCTTCAGCGGGAACTAAAAAGAATTGATTGTAAATCATTCATAATTTGACATATCACCTCTCCTGGAAAAATAAAGGGAAATTATTGATCTTTGTTTGGGAACTATCTGAAATGTAAACCCTACATCATAATGCTAGCTAATTATCTAACATTAATGAATTTGGCTTATGTGTAAACTATCAAGTTTACGCTGTTGTTCTTAAAGATTTTCTTACACAGTGAAAAATCAAAACATAATGAAGTAGATGAAGTACCGGTAAAGGAACCGCAAGCCTGTCTTTTTCACTGTAGAAATTCTGGGAACTGCTTTTGTTTTCAAAAGAGAAATCAAAAGAAAATGGATAAAGTTCATTCATTCATCTGGAGCTGAATGAATATTACTATTAGCTGCAGGTACATTTATGGGATTTTGAAATTGAACATTGTGGTATTTCTGCATTGATATATTCATGAGCAAATATCCACAAAATTCCACTTCATCACTTGCAGGATCTGTGTTATCAATGCATAATGCTAAATTTTTGCTTACATTGCTCAGAGGGGTTTTACAGACATCCTTAGTAATCTTAGTTAGACTCAGGAGAAGACAGTGTATACTGTTATCCATTAAAGTGACCCCATTCTCTTCTCTACAGGAATTCCAGAAGGTAGCAGTGTAGGTACTGGATCATCTGCCTTTGGGTATACTTGAGTGTAACATTAAGCAAACAAAGCAAGAAGCAGCACAGCTGAGGGAGACAATCTCTGTGCATACTTCTAGTACAGCTCTAGACAAGGGATCATTTACAGCACTTACTGCCCCCTGTGACTGGATGAAAATCTAGTGTCGTGTATTTGGCTTTGTCAGCAAGTGCTTGGACGTGCTTGTGCCCAGAATGATTCTTTTAAGACCATTTCAGAGCCATCTTTTAAAATCGTAATGAATATTTGTGAAGCATAAATGTTGAAGAACTTTAGCATGTGCTATGCTGAGAGAGAAACTATTTTTAGCAGCTAGTTCCATATCCTTTATAACCAGCAAGATATTCTTTAGAAGGTTATTTTTTTATCTTATCCTGGGTCTTGTCATGTTACCTATCTTCATCTGACTCCCAGAGCTGGACTAGTTGTACAAGAGTTCTTAATACCATTAAAATAAGAGCTCTTTCTTGTTTTTTTTACCATCTAAATATTGAAGACAAATATCAAAGTGCAAAATGAATGTTTTACCCAATAATAATAATAATAACAACCACCACCAAAACAACAATACCAAGGACAACAAAGGACCATAAGAATTTTGTTGTTGTTTCTGGGTTTTTTTGGTTTGTTTTCTTTCATTTGGGTTCAGAAAACAGATGCTTTTTTTTTTTCTTCCTTCCCTCTATACTTAGAGAATTTGTGTTTGTGACTTGAACAATTCCTTTAGAAAAAGAAAAAAACTCAATGTAAGATGCAAAATGGTAACAAAAAAATAAATCTTTACTGGAAGAGTTCTTAGTAGAAAATCCATCTGTTTAAAGTGCAAATGTAGAGTTTCCTAAAAAGTCTTCTCATCAAAGGAGAAAGTATTTAAGTAAATGTCTTATTTAAAGAACCATCTGTGGTCCTTTTTTCATGTATGAAGAATAAATGATTTCTTAAAACACTTTCCTTTCAAAAAATATGCCCTCATTACAGTTGACAAACTTTACTTCATTATTAATTTCTTACGTATTTTTTTAATACTGTTTGCATAAACAGAGTAAAAGACATTAAATCTGTTCACTCTATACAACTGTATTCCTTAACCTGTGTAGATGATGACTTACAAGTTATGGTAAACCCATTAGTGGAAGAAATAATTTTACACTATCTCTGCTAAAATCTTCAGACTTCCCTTTGTATTGCTTCTCAGTTTGTGTGTGTGTAGCGGCTTAGCCTTGGCCAGCAGCCAGATGCCCACCCAGCTGCTCTCTCACTCCCCCTGAATAGGGCAGGGGTACAAAATAGGGTGAGAAAGCTTATGCACTGAGATAATAGCTGGGGAGATTGTGTCCTAGTTACTGTCACAGGTAAACCAGAGTTGACTTGGTGAAAATTATTTCATTTATTAAAATAGATATGGGTAGTGAGAAACAAAGACAGAAAATATTTGCATCCATCCACCTATTAGGCGCAGCTTCACTCCTGACTCCTCTGCCCATGCCCAGAGCTGTAAGGTGGGGGGACGAGGGGCAGGAGATTGCACTTACCCTGTAACAACTCTTCTGTGCTGCTCTTTCCTGCTCATACTGTTTCCTTGCTCCAGCGTAGGCTCTCCATGAACTTCAGTTCCTTCAGGAACTATCCCCTGCTCCAGCATGGGGTCTTCCATGGTCTACAGTGTGGATGTGTGCTTCTGTACAGCTCTCTCTGTGGGTTGCAGGGAAATACCTATTTCAGTGCCTCAAGCACTTCCACCACCACTTCTTCGCTGACTTTGGTGTTTGCAGGGCTGTTCCTCACTCTTTTTTTTTTTTCTCCTCCTCTGCCTGTTTGGTAGTTCTTGCCCTTTCTTAAATACATTTTCACAGAGCGGCCACCATCATGGCTGAGGGGCTCAGCAGTTGCCTGTGGTGGATCTGTTGACGGTGCCTGGAAGCAGCTGTGCCCAGGACAGGGCAGCCTCCACTGCCAACACCTGGGCACCTACACCTGGTACAGTGCTGTAACTGCTCCTTCTTCAGCCTCCCTAGATCCCTGTTCTCTAAACTCCGCCTATGCAAAACACCACCATGGGAGGTCATCCAGTGAGTCAGCCTGTACAGAGACAGAAAATAGTTTCTGTTTCCCATTGTACTCTTCACTGTTAGGGTCTTGACAAGCTTTATGGGCTGACAGAGTTTTCAGCTTGTCCCAGCCCTGGCTGCTTAGGATTCGGCCGTTTTAACAGATTAATAAAATACCATGTCTTCACAAGCTTAGACTGTGAAGCTGATGAGCTGTGATAATGAGTCCATAAAAAACACAAAACCCCCTCCCCCAGAAATCATTTTCCCAGTACTGGTTAGCAACCTACTCATTCTGATATTTTGGGACAGTTAAGGAATCAAAGCACCTATCCACTGTCCTCCTTTCCTTTTGGCACCTTGTCAGAAATATTCTTCTTCATCCACTTCTGTAATGCACTTCATTTCTGCTGATTGAAGGGTTCATACGCCAGCTGGCAGAACAGCTTCCACACAGACCCATCAGCAGTTGCCTTGAAATCCTTCCACTTTTGTGTTTTATTGCCTTGCTGCTACTCCCTTTCCACCCCGTTGTCTTCTCCGAAATGTCCCTAAACTGGCTATGCATGAGATTTGGGCCCCACAGTTCCATCAGCTGGAAAAAAATCTGAACACTGTATGATCCATCCTGTTAAATACTTGTAAAATACAAAGACAAAAGTATCTTTCTTTATCCAATTTAATGATGTTTTTAAAACAAGATAAAGAGACAGTTGAGGATGGGGTGAGACCACTGAAGACTTGAGAATTAGTAATGAAGTAGCATTAGATTGCTATTTTTCACATGGTCTTTAGCAATAAAATGCATTTTCTTATGCCAGTGGTTTTATGGCCTGTGAGAAATTAATTTAAAATAGGTATAAGTCCATATACGAGTGACTACATCAGTAAAAACATTCAGTGTACGTGTCATTAATTGTTAGTTTCAGCAAGAAGACCACAAACTGATCAG